TAAACATTACACACGGGCAAAGAATTACTTTTTTATAAAATGTCTGCGTTATCTTGCATATTCTCCTACTTATACACTCAACAAGACTTTATTCGAATATCTGTTGGGACATAACATCCCTCTTCTAACATTATTTACATTGTTCGGACTGTTATCCTCATCTTCATTGCCATATTCACAACGTTTCGGTCGTTGTATGCTCCGGTCATCTTCAGGTGATTGGAATTTCAAACTGAATCTTTTATTTCGTCCACCAGGGTAGATTGTTTTAGTTCGAAGAGTCCATGTTTCTTCTGTTTTGGTTTTGGACTGGTATTGAATTCACAACTCTTTCGGTCTAGTCACTGGATCTAATCAACGCCTTTAGCCACTGGGCCATGTGTCCTTGATCTTTGTATGAATTCTTTGGGGGCTTATTGTCTCAGGCCTAGACTTGAAGAGTAATACAGTGTAACCCGGATATAAGAGAAATTTTCTCTGGTCCCAAATTAGAGCCTGTGTTAATGTATATAAAATAGACCAAACCCGGATATAAGAGAAACCCGGATATAAGAGACTCCTTCTCCGGTCCCGACCACTCTCTTATATCCGGGTTACACTGTACATATATTCGATCAATCGGTAAAGACATTGGAAAAAATGGTCAGTTACTTTTACTATCCCAGAAAGTATCTTTTTCTACCTGCTATGCTCTACCTTTTGAAAAGACATATCATACTAAAAACGGAGCATTAATGCTATAACCGAACTGAAGCTACACAATCTTCTCTTTTCAAAATTGTTTACGCTGCCTGCTATGCAATTATTTTCAACATACCAACCTTTCCCCTTTCCTTTTATTACTAAATAAAATATTAAATAATAACAAATAAGCAGCTAACATTAAATAAAGTGTCTTTTTCCACAGTGAGTCGTATATTGAGGTGTGTATATAAAAAAAGTATATATAAAAATTCCAGTTTCACTGTTTAAATGATTTTAAATGGATTTCACCATGAGTTATTTGGAATTGATTACAACGTAAGATTGCGGGAATTAACCAAAAACAGTTTACGTAAACACACACAAAACAAAATATTTTAAAAAATACAAAAAAACGAAGCGTCTACTTAAATATGAGCATCTGCTAAAAAAAACAAAAAGTTTAAGTAATAGAATCTGTCGGATTAATAAATAATTTTTTTTTCGCTAGAAGACGAAACCAAGCAGATATGTATATTTCGAGAGCCGGGAAAGATTTGCGCTTAAAAGCACTTGGTCATCGACGCACTTTGTAGCCGAGAAATCTAAAACACATCGAATCTAGCGACGGTTTTCCATGTCCAGGGCAACGCAGGTTCGAATCCTGTCAAAAAGCACATCTTTTTCTTTTAAAAAAAAAAAAAAAAACAACAAAAAAAAAAACTCGAATATTCAGGCCGGTAGACGAAAATAAATATACTATTTAATATATAGACGGAACGTCTACTCAAATATGAGTATCCACTAAAAAATAAGGTTCAAAGACATATTTTAAGGTGAATACTTATAAAAAAATAAATATAATAATAGTAATATATATATATATATATATATATATATATATATATATATATATATATATATATAAAAATATATAAATATATATATAATTCCTTAAAACACTATTATTCCTTGGTCATAATTTATTCCGTTGGAATCGTAAATACGATCAATTCATCAGACCTACAAATTCAAAATGAAAACAGAAAAGAACAACTGTTTTCTTTTTGAATTTGTAGGTCTGATGAATTGGATCGTATTTACGATTCAAATGGAAAGGAAGGATATAATAAAAAGGCTTAAACACTAATATTCCATGGTCATAAATTATGACCATGGAATATTAGTGTTTAAGCCATTTTTATTATATCCTTACTCTGTCCTGGACATTGAGTTCTACCTGGATTCTATCCTCTTGGAATTATTTTTTATACAAATATATATGTCTGTGTATATATGTATGTATATACATATTTATATATTTTAGATATATGATTGCATATGATTGTATATTTGTATGTAATATATATATATATATATATATATATATATATATATATATATATTTATATATATTTATACATTTAATTCATTGACGGATTGTACGAGGATTTGCCTTTTATTAATTTCAGAAAAGGCTCGATGAATCTGTTACTTTTGAGACATTCTGAAAATGAGACGAGGATTTACCTTCAATTCGATACAAAAGTCTGGGAAAATATATTAACAACTTACGACATGAACTAAGAATTAAAAATAAAATACAGAATAAATATTAAACTCTTTTTATAAAAGTAACTCAATTTATTTCTTCTATTAAAGAAGAAATAAATTGAGTTACTTTTATAAAAAGAGTTTTATATTTATTCTGTATTTTATTAGAAACGCCAGCTCAGGTAAAAATTACTATGATTCATTATTTAAGCATAAACACAAATAGACACATTTCTTTTTGTCGTTTTTGGATCTGATGAAGCCTAGAAAGGTGAAACGCGTAACCAAAACTATTTTCAATGAAATGGTTTTCCATTTGTCATATTTCTTCAAAACTTTGTCAGGCTTCTATATCTTTTTAAAAAACACACACATATACGTGTGTGTGTGTGTGTGTGTGTGTGTGTGTGTGTGTGTGTGATAGGATGTAAGGGAAACTTTTAATCTCCAAATCACACACAAAATCAAACAAAATTGCTTTTTGGTAAGAATTTCCGTTAAACTGAAATGACCTTAAAATTCCAAACAAAATTTTCCTTAGAAATAACTTCATTTTTAATTTTTTTTTATTATTTAGTTGCCAATTATTAGCAGATCACGAAAAGACAAAAAAGATACATCCATAGTTCAATTTCGAACAACCATTACATGAAACAGGGTTATGAAAACGGGCAGCTTGACTGAACGATACGAAAACTATTAACTAAAATATAACATTAATAAATAGACAGATTTAAAAAAAAAATCAACGCCTGCAATGTGACATTGACTTAGAAAGTTTTGCAAGTACGTGGGACGAATTTCTTCGAGATGATGGGACAATTATCTTGGCACAGTCGGATATAATTTCCTTTGCAACGACAGATTTTTCAATTAGTTAAGATGTCCTACTTCCTTCGTAAAGGAAACGTTTCTTCATAAATCGACGTTCTAATTCCCAATTTGCTCTGCTTTAACTGCAGTTTTTTCTTTTAGAGGTAATCGTTCAAGCAAATACCAACGAACGACGCGACGTGACACAACAGTTAGCAAACTTGTTTCGCAGGTACTTCCTAAAATAAGTTCCTTACGCACCATGTCATCAGTTTAACCTTGTGCCAGTCTAATCTAAGCTTAGGTGTATCGGCACAGAGACAAACTCGTTTTTCGATATCCTCTACATAACGCTATTTAAAACTTGTACGCCTCGTTCTGAATAAGCGGCTCAAGCAACGACTATCAACGTGGAAACAACAAGCGAGCCGAGTTCAAATTCGGGGCTCATCTCCAACGTTCATTCTCGTACAAATAGGTGTATTGGAATAGCTAAATATGCCTTTCAAAAACTAAACAAAGGATTAAGAAACGGGAAATTTCGTTAGAAACAAAAAGAGTGTTGAACTATTATTCAATATCATTTATCATATTTATATTACTGGGCATGACGATGAACTACATCCGGAAACAAGACCTCTGATCGGTTTTCAAGAGCGTGGAACCATATCTTAATTAAACAAAAGAAAAAAAGATGCCTTCCAAAAACAAAGCATTAAGAAGAAAATTACAATAGAAACAAAGAAAAACAGTGCTGAAATCTTATGCAATATCGTTCCTCCTATTTAGCAGTGAATGATGGACAATTTCATCGTATATAAAGAGGATATTTAAGTTAGCGAGGATATGTTTCAACAGAAGGATGCTGAGAATGCCATTGACGGTGTATGTAAACAACGAAAACGTTTTAAGGAAAATGGAAACAAAAAACACAGTTATATTTATAATAAGAAAAGACAGTTAAGATTTCTAGGACATATGATGAGGAAAGAGAGTTTGGAGAATTTAACATTCAAATGACATATTGTAGTCAAGAGAGGCAGGGGAAAGCAGCGAGTAACCCACCGAACGAGCTTGTGTAAATGGATGGCAGAACAAGAAGTAACAGAGACTGATTGATTTGATTGGTTTGTATTTTACGGCTTATCACTCTCCCCCACCCGCAAAAAAGCTGAAACATATTTTTAAGACTATAAGAATAATTGTGAGTGAATAATAATTTTTTGAGAATAAAAATGTTTTTTTTTTTTTTATAGATAGATAGATAGATAGATAGATAGATAGATAGATAGATAGATAGAAGTCCTAATATTTAACCCATACCTGGAGGGAAGAGATACGTTTCCCAAAAGAATTTGCAAGTAAGTGAATATAATGAACCCAAATGGAATTCGAACTCTGTTCTCCGATTTCACATTTCGAGACACTATCCATTATTCAAAGAAGGATAGTGAAAATGCAAACAGTTAAGATCTATTAAGGATAGGAAGTTTGTGGAGGGCCATAAACGCCCATATTTTGAAAGAACACAGAAGATAACAACGGGCTCTCTAATAAAAAAAATATCCCTAGCATGTGGAAGAAAAACAGTTTGAAAGAGATTGAGAGAGAGAGAGAGAGAGAGAGAGAGAAGTGAAATTAAACACAAATATTTTGGGTTATTTATTGAATGTATTGATTGATGGATCTGCTTTTTTACGGACTAGCAACATCTTGCATGTTATTTAAAGCCAGAAAATATCTTTCGATTGTAACAATTTTTTGGAGATAATAATGGTTTTACTGATACAACTACTACTAATTAACCCATAACTGGGGAGAAGACGTGGATTCATGCCTTTCCCAATGGTATTTGCGCGTAAGTAAATATAACGAACCCGACTGAACTTGGAACTTGGCTTTTTGATTAATAATTTCGAGACATTTTCTATGACACCAACCGTACATCCAAGCTTACAGCATCTGGTATTCCCAAGCGGTCACCTATCTAGGTACTGACCAAGCTCGGCGTTGCTTAACTTTCGTGATCGTACGGGAACCGACGTTTCAACATGATGTGTCCATAAGGAACAGAGAGGAGGAGGATGGAAGCGAGAGAGGAGGATAAGGAAGAGAAGGAGAGAGAGAGAGAGGATAATGGCAGAGAAAGGAGAGGAGGAAGAGGATAAAGAGAGGAGGAGAATAGAGAGAGATGGAGTTGGATAGAGAGGAGAGCGGTGTAAAAAGAGAGAGGACTATGGGAGAGTGGAGGAGGAGGGAAGTGAAGGAAAAATAAGATGATGGGAAAGAGAGAGAGGATAATGGCAGAGAAAGGTGAGAAGGAAGAGAAAGGAAGGAGGAAGAGGATAAAGAGAGGAGGAGAATATAGAGAGGAGAGGGGTAGAAAAAAGAGAGAGGACTATGGGAGAGTGTAGGAGGAGAAGGAGAGAGGAGGCAGAAAAGGGAAGAGAGAGGTGAAATGAAAAGTAGATCTTTGGGGTTGGAGTAAATTTGCGTACAAAACTAAAAATAGTCAAGAGCACATTTATCTTTTACTAAAGAAAAACGAAGTTTTTAAAACCAAAAGATATATTCAAGAACAATCAAAATATTACTTATCATAATCCGTGTTTGAAACTATATTTATTCAGTATGAGATTTGTATCTTTTGTCGAAAAACAGATGGTAGAAAAATGAGGGACATAGGCAAAGTATAAGACTATTCAAAAGCGTAAGGTTTCAATAATATAAAAATCCGAATCACATACGGAACTGATGGGATGATAATTGTTCAAATATTTCAGGCCTTTAAAAAATGATCTGATGTTACTGCAAATTGAGGCGTACAGGTCGAATTTTCAAACCTAAAAGATCGTTATAAAACTAGGAGTCGACTTATACAGCGGATATAAAATGTAAACCTTTATCACCGAAATGTAGACAAGTGGGACAGCACTCCTAACAATTATTGTACACCACTTCCTGTATGTCTAAAAGGCTGCCACAAATAGAACCCACTAAAACTTGGCGAGCATATTTGGCGTATTAACACAGAAATTAATATAAAACACTAGCATTACAACACACCTCGTTTGATGCAAATGGCAAATGGCGGGTGAGTGATACTGTGTCTTACAATAACATACCATACATAGCAGTACTATAATAAAAAAAAAATACCTGGTATGATGTGTAATCTATGGTCTTAATATTTTATAGCAGTTGAGGTTGACTTTAATGTGTTTATCAGTAGACCTGACGAATTTGAATTGTTCGCCAAGTTAGGCCGATACAATATACAGTAGCTGTGTGTGTGTTGTAGGTTGTTTGCTATACAACGCATACAGAAAGATATTACGGTTAGCGTCTCAATATACAAGTAAGCGGTGTGACCTTATGTAGTTTTGGCAAAGGTTATTGTATACTGTAGCCTTAATTCATTTATCGGTAGGCCTAAGTTTTGGCCACTGGTAGAGCACTGTATGAATTGGTGGTGAGGTGGGGGTCAAGCTGTACGGTAGGTATAGGCCTAACTCAGAAGGTTGGGCTAAAGATCTTGACGTCGACTCTATCCTTTAGGTAGAGGTTGGTGCCGTCAGTTTGTTTACACCATTGATGCAAATGGCAAATGGGGGATGAGTGATACTTTTTTTTTAAGCATTTCACCCCAAGCAAGGCGAGAAGCCACTAGGACGCAAGGGGTTACAGAAAATTTAGAGCAAGATCAGATAAGAGTGATAGAAGAAAGGATGAGGGTAGTGGATAGATCAAGGCAACTGGAGATGTCGATTGACATTGCACTTAAATAGCTGGAGATTATAGCTCACAGGGAAACAGGAATAGGGAAGGGAGTTCCACAGGCGAGAGGTGCGAGACATGAAGCAATTGTAGTAGAAGAGACGGCTACATTTAGGAGTTTCGACAGTGAAGGGGTGAGAGCGGGATGCCAGCCTCGTAAGGCGCTGGAACTCATGACGTCTGGGAACCAGCGAATGCAGCTCCTCGGAAGAATTTCCATGAAAGTATTTGTAGAACAGAGAGAGGGAGGCGACGGCGCGTCTGTGAGAAAGTGACTGTAGACTGTGTTTTACAATAACATACGATACTTAGCAGTAGTATAATAAAAAAAAAACTACCTGGTATGATGTATAATGTACGGTTTTAATATTTTATAGAATTTGATGTTGACCTTAATGACGAATTTTAAGTTATACCAATACAATATACGGTACCTATCGGTGTGTGTGTTGTAGGTTGTTTGCTATACAATGCATATAGAAAAATATTAATGTTACTGTCTCAATATGCAGGTAAATGGTGTTACCTTATGTAGTTTAGGGAAAGGTTATCGTATACTGTAACTTATCTGCATTTACTGGTAGGCCTAAGATTATAGGCTACAGGTAGAGCACTGTATGAATGGGGGACAAGCTGTTCAGTAGGTATAGGACTAACTCAAAATTTTGAGCTACAAATCCTCCAGGTCGACTTGTACAACAGTTCGACTTATACACCGTATTTTACGGTATTTATATTAAGAAAGAAAAAAAAGGGCAATACGATACCATTCTGAGAGGTATATATGTAAAAGACTTATAAGAGAGAGAGAGAGAGAGAGAGAGAGAGAGAGAGAGAGAGAAAGATAGATAGATAGAGAGAGAGATGAATAACTTTACCAATTTCTAAATGTGCGTTGGTATAATGTCCACGTTTCTCACCTCGACAATGTCTGGCTTGCTTTGAGATTCGAATAATTTTTAAAAAATTAAGTTCTGCTAGGAAATAATCTATAGCGAGATAACAGATGCACTGGGACAACCACACTCTCCAGGCCTGGGGAGTTTTTATCCCTCTGAAAGTTCTCCACTGCCTTGAACTCACACACTTTGGGTCCTCTCACTGAATCTAACTAACACCTTTATCCACTGTGCCATGTGTCCTCAAGGACAGTGGATAAAGGTGTTAATGTGACAGGACCCAAAGAGTGTGAGTTCAATAGCCGGCTAAGGCAGTGGAGAACTTTCAGAGGTAAATTAACAGGAGATAACTGATAACTGATATTCATTAAACATGGCAGGTGGAACTAGAATAGTCTACCCCAGTGAGCGAAATAAAGGGTTTAGTTCGACATTCCAACCACCAGAAGAAGGCCGGAGCGTACAACGGCCGAAACGTTGTAATAAATATGGCGACAAAGACGAGTATAATAGTCCGAATAATGTAATATAAGTAAATGCTTATATAGTCAAATATTGGTGGAAAATATATGACAAAGTGGAAAACTTTTTCTTGTTACGCGTTTTGTCCTTTAGGACTTCATAAACGATTAAAGTTTACCTAACCCAGAAGCAATTCAAGCCTTATATACTAAATTATAAACAACAACATTTCTTCTTCTGTATGCCGTGTCCTTTCCAGACATTGGCGATCATAGCTCTCTACAATTTTCTGTCCTTTTTCGCTTTTAATAAATATTATCTCTTCGTTAACTCTCCTAAATCTTTGTCCGCCATCTATTCTCTCATGCTCTCTAGGTAGATTATACGTTCTTTTTACTGCCCCTCTTGCCTTCAATCTGTCCTGTGAGTATCAAATTCTCCAACCCTTTTTTCCTCTTTGTGCTCTAGAAATGTCAAATTATCTTCTTGGTGTTACGTATAAATGTCTTTTTATTTCTATTTTCTTTAATTTTTCACATGTTCGGTTCATGGTAGACTTAGCATCCTTCTGTAGAACCATATTTATTTTCCTTCAAGTTTCTTCTTTACATGTAATGATTCCGAAAATATTTATCGGGTATAACACCAACTACCCGTGTGTGTGTATTTTTTTTTAACAAGGTCGTTTGCTCCGACCTTGAAAAAATAAAAAATAGAAGCCAGTAAATGTCTTCAAGACCTCCCGGAAAATCCATATTATGAAACACACCAATCCTCTCAGAATATGAAATTAGAATGGTACAAAAGCACTTCATCTGTTTACTTTTGGAACCTAACTAGTTCGTAAAAATCATTATTTGTTACACGAGAAGAACAGTGATAAAATTGTCGTACAAAAGAAGACTTTATCGTTACAAATCCCCAGAAAGATTATAGAGATGTAAAATTAAAACAAACAAAAAAAATAATCTTAATAGCAAAAAAAAAAACATTTTGTTCTGGCTTCATATTCTAAAAATGATTTTACCAATTTTTTGAATAGTGTGCATTTCGATAAAGATATAAAAAAAACACAAAACCAAAACATTTTTTTCAGCAGCAACGGGAAATATTTTTCATGGAAAGAAAAAATCTACACTTTATACTCAAACTAATATCTTCATCTTTTCTGTTGTTATCTCAACGTTTGGGCACTCCGGACTTCTTCAGATATCTGTCGATTCCGGTAACCTTCATTCAAGGAATTTCGAAATGAACCCTTTATATAATCTACGTTCCGCTGTCCATGTCTAGGGATATCACGTTTCAACTGTTTAGAGACAATGAAATCAGGTGTGGCTGATCATGTATAGACTGAAAGAGGTGGTTACCAGCCCCAATGGAATCAAATAAAAATAAAGAACAACACTGGAAAATCAGACGTTTGAAGGACTTAGAGCACATGCTACGACAGACTCATCGGTGGGCCTAGTATATGAAATAAGTACCATATAGGATCCGTTAATAAAGAAATAAGGAGAAACGACAGCAGAGGGTGTCAAGCTTCACAGTACGGCTTCAGCAAGGGGAGCAATAAGAAAGAAAAGTGGTAGCCAAGTGATGGGAAGTAAGAAAGAAGCCGCGTTTTATAAGAGGGTACATTTGGAACACTATATAAAAAAAAGTTTAATTACCTTTGGGAATTGCTGTAAATTTGGATGACAACGAAAATTAGTGATGATTTAAATCATTGTATTTTCTTTACAGTTACATTTACTTCCTGCGTGTTGACATTCACATAAACATATATGGAATTCATTAAAGACTGACAAAATCGGTAAGGCACGTAAGGCTATATGACGGTTCCGTATAGGATACAGGTTCGATTCCTGTCGGAGGACGCATATTTTCTACGAAAATTTCTCCCACATTCAGGCC